TGTATCATACTTTAATTAAATTCACTTTTTTGTTCTCTTAAATGCGTATAACACCATTAATTATTTCATTATTTGGCCTAGTTAGCATCATACCACATTGTGACCGCTGTCCATTTCTTTCTGGGAAATAATTGTGTTCTTCCATTTATATGCAGGAAGGATGCAAATTACAAAAGAACAGTAATTGCTTGCTTCATCCAAGCAGTATACTTGGTGGAGCTAGACAGACAAGAGAATCGCACAGAAGAAACTGCCCTTGCTCCCAAATGGTGGGCCCCCTTCAAGTACAGACTCGCCGAAACCCTAATCGACGAGAGAGACGGCTCCATCTTCGGCGCCGTACTCGAATGGGACCGGGCGGCGGCTTTGACCGACCTGGTCTTCATCCGACCGAGCGGCGCACCGAGAGCAGTCCTGGCTCTCCGCGGGACCCTCCTGAAGAGCCCGACGATCAGAAGGGACATCGAAGACGATCTCCGGTTCCTGGCGTGGGAGAGCCTGAAGGGATCGGTCCGGTTTAGGTGCGGAATGGAGGCGGCCAAATCGCTGGTCGGGAAATACGGGTCCCACAACGTCTGCATCGCCGGGCATTCGCTCGGCGCCGGATTCGCTCTTCAAGTGGGGAAGGCGTTGGCGAAAGAAGGGATATACGTGGAGGCGCATTTGTTCAACCCGCCATCGGTTTCGCTGGCGATGAGTCTCCGGAATGTGGCGGAAAAGGCGGGGTTCGTTTGGAATAGGTTCAAATCTCTGCTTCCTTCTCAGACCGGCTGCATTTCTGAAAAAGTTGAACAAGGAGGAGGAGGGGAAAGATCCCGAAAACAGACCCGGGTAAAGCAGTGGGTCCCACATTTGTACATAAACAACAGTGATTATATTTGTTGCTCTTATACTGATCCAGAGGAAGCCCAGAACAAGAACAGGGCTGCTGCTGCTGCTGATGGTGATGAAGATAAAGAGAATGCGAAGCCCCGAAAAGGCGGAGGCGGGGGGCAAGTGGCGGCGAAGCTCTTCCTTTCGGTGAAGGGAGGAAAGCAGAGGTTTTTGGAGGCGCATGGGCTAGAGCAATGGTGGTCTGACAATTTGGAGCTTCAAATGGCTCTGAATAGTAGCAGGCTTATAAGCCAGCAGCTTAAATCCTTGTATAGTCTCCCACCCCCTACTGCCTCCACCACCACACAAACAGCAACAGTTAAGCATAAGCTTAAGAGTTAGCAGAACTATGTATTCTGAAGTGATATTCACAATATTAAATCATTGTTGAATTATCTGCTTCACATTTTTTCGAACCGTATTCTTGATGTGTATTCTTCATGTGTTGGTCTTTCTTTTTTGAAGCTTCACACTTCATACTCCATATTTGTTTGTCCTAAATTCTTAAATGAATGGTAAAATTATAAAAACTACAGAGGGGCATGTACAAAATTTCTCTTCTAGTCTTCAACAGACAAACCTCCTGTCATAACAGACTAAACAACATCAGAGCAAAACAGCCTAAAACTTATCCTCTACAAGCACCCTACACAACCAAAACCTGGAAAGTACTTCCCAAGCAATCAAAAAGGTAGAGGGGAAGTTCAAAAATAGATCATATTTGGAGGTCCTTAAAAAAAGATCAACTTGGAAGATGCATCCAGTACAAAACTTTATATTTTAGGACTTTATTCAGTACAACCATACTCTTGACAATTGCAGTGTCTCCTTTAGAATTTCTTGTGTTTCGAACCATCCAAATGGTAGTTACCGGAGCACCTTTGAAATCCACACTTAACAACACTAGTGAGAATAGTACTGTAGTAGTAGTAGCTTTTTTCAATCCCAGCCAAACACAAATCTGCTTCCAAACCAATCCTGTAACAGGACACTTGATGAACTGGTGTTCCGTCTCGATAATTTTGCTACCATGGGCTACCACACATGCATATTAACTTGGAATCTGGACAGTTACTGTCTCTATGGAAAATTTTGGTCTATTTTAAAAGTTTGGGGGTATGATTGAGTTGATTATTTTGTTATGAGCATATAACTGACGTTAGAGTTTATTTGACAGTATCCTTAAAAAATAACCATAAAAACAATGTAACCAAATTTTCTTTTGCAATACCTTTAAATTATACTTCCCTCCGTCCCATTTAAATCTTTACACTTTCCTTTTACTCTTTTACGTTTCCTTTTTTGGCAACTTATTTTACATGATTTGCCATAACTACCCTTCACACCACCCACTCACATTCACATTTAATTAGATAAAATTAATTACCCACCCACTACCCAACCGCCACTCTCGTATACTCCATACTAATCTCCAAAACCCATACGGACAGTTGAGTCTACAACAATAATCTTCTCTCCATCTGTTCATCTTTTCTTACAAATTTATTCAATTCTTCTTTTCAATTCTCCCTAATTATCGACTATTGGACTTCGTTCACCTGACCAAGAAAAGTGTAAGTGTTTAATCGATCTAGCTATGTGTGTTGATCTATGAATTCATGTGATTTAGGTTTTAATGTTTTCTTTTTTTGTTAAACAACTATGGCTGATCCCAATTCAGATATGGATATTGAAGATCTCGAATTGGCCATTGTTGGAAACTCGTTTGTAATGCCTATGAGACATCCTTTAATCAATTTTGTTTATGTTCTGGGTGATACCCTCTACCGAACGCCTATGTAACCTTGACTAAACTTCGTATGTTGTGATTTGATCTTGTTGAAGTTTATTCTTTCAATCCGGGGGCCCAACACGTAACCCAAGGATTTCGAGTGGAAGAGTATCTGAATATGAAGTGCAAGCGGGTAAATGAGCTTATCTTTCTGTAGCAGTGGGTTGTATCTTATTAAGTGATAATAAGGGTTCATATACAAACGCACTATCACTACCTGGGCTGAGGCCGATCGTCTTTCTCGCTAAGTAAGAGCTGAGAATATAAGCTATAAGCTAGAATGCTAGGGAGAATAAGTTGCAAACCCTTTAGAATGAAATAAATGATATTATTTATACTACCAATGGGTAGTTAGGCGTGCTAATGTGGAGAGATGTGGATGGCCAGACTCTCAACTACCAAATCTCCAACATTAAATGCGCTTCCCGCCAGAATCTTGATTTCCCGCCAAGGTTTGGGGACGAGCGTCCCCTGGGCCCTGGACCTTCTCTTGGTGTTGGATAAGGGTCAGGTGTCGAGCGTCCCCGGCGTGTCATCTGGCTATGAATGCTGGAGCTCACTGGGTAGCCTTGATGGCTAAGGCCTCGGAGGTCGTGCATCTGATGCATGGGATGTACATTGGGGGTGCCTTGGGTTTTTATGGATAACCCCCCTTGGTGGGCATTGAAGCATGAAGACGAGCGTCTAAGGGGATAATGGACCGATCCCTGATTGAGCCATTAACCCAACAGATCTATTTTGAGTTTCACTCTATTTGCTTTGAGACCTAATATGTTGTGATAATTACTTATGATCTGTGTTGGTGGTTTGTAAAGCTACCAATGATGAAAAGTGGTCTTTTTTTTACTATAACACCAACAAGGAAATTTCTTCTGCAGTTAAAATATACTGCGTCTAACTCAAAATATACTGCATTTGTACTAAACAGCCACAAGCAGTAAAAAAAATCAACTCCACAATCAGGTACTGTTCACCTGGTTGGTCAGTGGGAACTAGGGGTGTGCACGGGTTGGGTTCGGGCAGGTTGGGTCTGGGTACCCTATAAACCCATTCGGGTTTTTTAATTTAAATACTAGGCCCGACCCTTTGATATTTCAAATCGGGTATTTCGGATATTTTTAAATCGGATATTTTCGGATATCGGACCGGGTTTCGGATATTTCGGTTATATTTAAAAAATTAAAAAATTAAAAAACATTATAATTGGATAATTAAAATGTTTGAATGCCAATTTGACAAAAATTGTACACACTAGTGCACTAAACATTCAAATTAGACAAATAATTTAACACAAATTGCACAAATAATTACACAAATAATTGAACACAAGTGTTAATTTAACATATTCAAAGTACACACTACATAATTTAATATATTTTGGATATTTCGGTTATATTAAAACAAATTATAATTGGACAATTAAAGTGTTGGAATGCCACTTTGACAAAAATTGTACACACTAGTGCACTACACTTTCAAATTACACAAATAATTGAACACAAGTGTTAATTTAACATATTCAAAGTAAACATTACATAATTTAATATATATTTCGGATATTTCGGGCGGGTCGGGATGGGATTTTACAAACCCTACCCGCGGCACCCGCCACCCGGTCTAGGCCCAATACTAATCGGATTTTCGGTTTCGGATTTTTCGGGTCGGATATCCACTTCGGTTCGTGTATTATCCGCAAAAAACTTCGGGTTTTGCGGGTCGGTTCAGGTTTTGCTTAGCCCTAGTGGGAACCGTCATTTCGACACATTAACAAAGGCCAAAGGAGGGGCAAAGGGTATAAAAGAGATTTGCTATTCTAGTAATTGCTATTCTAATAATAACACTTTCGTATTAAATGATCTCATTCAAAACAAATCCGGATAGCTCCATTACTTGGTGAAAACATTCTTAGTTCTTACATACCTAAAAGTTTATTGATTATGATGAAATCTTGCACAAGGAAAGAAGGGACATAAAAAGTTGAATTCTAAACATGTTAGTCCAAGTGAAAGTATCAAGTAGTATTAGATACTTCAAGAAATTGCAGATTAAGATGAATTAGCACAAAGCAGGAATATAAAAAATGAAACCCAGTTGTTTTAGTGAAAATAAAAACATTTTGAAATGCTCTGAAATTTGCACATTTGATTAAATCTAGCACAAGAAAGAAGGAAGATAAGAAAATGCAATCATACGTGTACAACAAAACAAAAACGACTCCGCTGGGGATCGAACCCAGAATCTCTGGTTTCGTAGACCAGCGCCTTATCCATTGGGCCACGGAGTCTTTTTGTTTACAATTATTCTACAGCATAATACTTAACGAATAATATAGTTACGGTCTTGTTCTTGATTGTTCGACGCTGAACTCATGATTCTGTCTGACAGTTTACCCTCGATCCTCTCTCCCAACTTCCCAAGTCCAAACTAATCCAGAAATCAGGATCATGTTGTTAATGAGTCGGACTCTTCTTCCCACGCATCTTCAATGGAGGCCTCCGCTTATTCCAATCGCTACAGCGTGCTTCGCTTCTTCTCAAAGCCTCAACACAGACCAGCTCCGAGAACAGCTTGATCATCTACACAAGGAAGCTAACCAGACAAGACGCAAAGGTATATGCTTTTGTGGACTGTGTATTATTCATCTCCTTTACTACATTTTTAAAGTTCAATATTCCTGATTTGGCACAATTATTAGTAATGTAGTTGAAAACGTTAAAGTCGTTGTTGTGATTTGAGTTTAATAAAAAGTGAAGTGAGGTAGATTACATATTTCTTTTCAAAAAGAGAAATGTGACAATTATTTTTAGATAATCCAAAAAAGAAAGTAAGATATGTTAAATGGGATGGAGGAAGTACATTTTTACTGCGTAATTCATTTCTGCCAATTCAAGTTTAATCGGGCATAATTCGCATTTTGTGGTGCAATAGTTGGATTTTCCTGATGAGCATGTGTTTGTTATATTTTCTGAATGGGTACTGCAGTTCTTGCAAAATTATGTCTACACGACGAGGCGTTGAACAATACCAAGAGAGTATCTGTTATGATCATATCATGGAAATTCCATGGTTTTATGAGTTGTGTACATAATAAATTAATAATACCCAGACCACAAAAATGATAATAATACTTCAATTTCTCTACGTCAATTGATCTCTCCTTATTCAAATAGCTTGGAACATTTATAGTACTGCTCACATTTACTCAAAACATAAAAGCTTCTCTTTGTTTAAATGTGCATGATATAAACTATAAACTAGATCCAATGCACTACTGTATAGGAAGTGCTTAGTTCTGTACATCTCATGACTCATGATGTGGCCTTTCTTCAGCAAATAATGCAAGACTGAGGCTACTAAGGTTGTCTGAAGTAGCAGACAAGCTTCGAAGGCAAGCTGCAATTAGTGTTCGATCTGGAAAGGAGGAGGATGCCAGGGAATTGCTTTTCCAAAAGAAAAAGGTTTTGCAAGCTATGGAGAAGTCAAAGAATCGCATTGAATTGCTTGAAAAACTTGCTGCAAAACTTAATGAGGTCCAATTTATTGCCGCTTTGGGGTTCTTCACGGTCTTTTTTACTATCTCCGCGCCCCTAACATTGAGACAAAAGGGAGTAATGCGGTTAAAAAAAGTGAAATTGTGTGATTGATATTAAATTGATCGCATAAATAAAGTAAGAATGAATTATAAGTTATAACCATACAAATTTTAGTAAATGTGGTATGAGTTATATTTAGTTGGACGGACGGAAAAGGTAAAATGGGACAAAGATAGAGGGTGGAGGAAGTACTAACCGCACATCCATCTTGGGAGGAGTAATTATTTTAACATAAAAGTTACCATCTTGCTCACTTATCGGCATTTTTTTTATGTAACAATTCAATTTTCCACCAATGACGATCAGATTTATTCTCTGATTGGAAATTCTTTCTTGATGAATCACAGCTTCTCTGTTTCTCTTTAGTAATCCAGTTTCTAATTCGGTAACTAAATCTGATCAAGGCAATATCAATGAGGGAGACACAACTGATTGGCAATGCTTCTATAGAACTTGAAGTTATAGCCGACGATATTCCTAGTGTTGTTAGAATAGTGTCTCTCAGAGAGAATGATTGTAACAATTCAGAAGGAAGTGAAGTTCACATTCGGGAAGATGTCGAGGTTTGTAATCCTCAAGAACTTCAACATCTTAATCACAGTGTGGCAGACCCTGAAGCTGATAATGAGGCATCAGGTAGTGGGAACATGTGGAGTGAAGCTGAAAGAGTGGATAGCTTCAATGGAATATCTTCATATGAGGACTTTGTGGAACATATATATCTAGAACTCAAAAAAATTGAAGATGAAGTAGTCACAGTTTTGAGATTTGCAGGCTTGGTTATTGAAAGCAACGAGAAACTAGAAAATTCAAAGATTCAACAACTACTGGACATATTAGATAGCATTCAACATATCAGAGAGAGGTACTCTTCAACATATCTGGCAACTGTTACCTTTTAAGTTCTGGTTGCTCATCTTTTTCATGCTTTTCCTAAACGTCATGTTTTTTGGTAATGTTTATGTTTACCATCATTGCTTATCATTATGGAATATCAATATTCTATAATTGTGATTATGGATGGCCAGGGATCCATTATTATAGTGAAATAACTTATGGTTTAAGAACCTGCTTAATGATGCTACTTCGGTGCTCAAAGATGTTTTTTTTGTTCTTTTCTATAATCTCCATTCAAAATAAATTAGCTTAAATCTAATTTGTATTATATCTAATTTTTTGTCTAGGTTCCCACCTAGGTACCAGACTACCAGGTTGTGGAACCGAAAACCTTCAACAACAACAACAAACATCCAATTCCTAATCCTAAAAGAGTTTGGGCTGGGCTAATATGAATCAACACTAAAAAGTGAACCGAAAACCTTCTTGACACTAAAAAATTCTCAGACACTGCATTTAGGGTTGTTTTAGGATTGTTTTTTGTTTCACTCTTAAAATTGAACTGGAATGACATTATATTATCTATCCATTTCTTAATTTGGCTTCACATTTCACAACTTCACTCATGAATATTCATATTTTCATTTTCCAAGTTTCCTCGTTTGCTAAAAGCCTAAAACCCAAGGCACTCACATTTCGAATCTCCTTGTTTCCAGGTTTATTACATTTGGTACTACTGGAATAGCGTTTTTGACTTGTTTGGAATTAAGTTAACTTAAGTACTTCAATGGTATCTATGTTGGAATTGTGTCATATGCAGGGCCGGCCATGGGGGGAGATAGTCTAGACATTTGTCTAGGGCCTCCAAATTTGGTAGGGCCTCCATTTTAAAAAATACGGAGTAATAATATTATATGTACCTTAAATCTTTAATTAAATTAATTAAAATACTTAAAAATTAGTGTAGAACAAAAGATACGTTGATGCAAAAAAACAAATTATCAAGATTAACCATGTTCGGTGATATATTAGAAAATAATGACAAATATAGATCTAAATAAGAGTGAATAAAATATGTCTTTTTATACTTTAGTGACTATAATTTTAATAATCATGATTGTGTTAACTATAATGCATATGCATAGACAATAATTCCATATCCTAATTCAAGTATATTTAGAGAGATAGTTTTGATGTGTACGTATATAATATAATGAGTTATAAATGTATTATTTTTAATATTTTATTATCAAATTGTCACTTAAGAGGGTTAATTGTTTTCTAAAATAAAAAGTGAAAACATTTAGTTGAAATGTCTAAATTAGGACGTCCTTTAAATTTTTAGGCCCCAATCCTCCCCAAATTTGTAAAATAGTTATATATTTTTATATGTTAGAAGATTGTGTAAAAGATCATCAGGAAAAAACTAACCAAGCCACGTTAATATTTCTTTCTGGCTATATCATTCCTATTTGTTTCTTATTATAGTTTTGTATTTTTTTACTAAAAAATATATTGAAGTGATACTCTCTCTACTCCGCTAAAATTGTCTCATCTTTCGTTTTCAGCTTATACATTAAGAATGTCACAAATCAAATTTGACAAAATTTGTGTGGTTCTAAATCATACTTACTTTATCACTTCAATATCAACCACATAAACTAGCTTTTCTTAATAATTGTAAAACTTTATCATAACCTAGCATTAGTGAGACGTGAGTACGTTGTATCTCATAATTAAATACGAAGTATTATTTGGTTGTCTAGGGCCTCAAAATTGTTCTAGACGGCCCTGGTCATATGTCAACCACATATTTGTATTGTTGTACCTAACTTTAGTTGCTGTGCTAGTTGCCTAGCAGTGGTTTGGGCTAGCGAAACTTAGAACACAGAGTAATATGTTTTCTTCACTTGTTTGGAATATGTTCCCTTTACCGCACCAACGACTTAATGGTTGTAAATCAGACATGATAATCCATAATACTTGCTCAACATATAGAAAGTAGAGTATTTATTCTATAACTTAGTAATTGAATTTAATAAGCTTATCCAAAAAGCATTATATATATAGGGTGCGGTTCCGGTGAGAACACTTCTTAACGTGAGAAATGAGAACGCTCCAAAACGATGCACTTTATCATTTATGTGAATGCACATTTATACTTGGTAATGCAAAATTCTAATGTGCACTTTTAAGTGTAAACCTTTGCACAGTTGAAATGCACATTTTCCAATTTTTATGTGCACATTTCTGTTTTACTTGATGCACAATGATAAAATCCAACGCTCCACAATCATTCTCATTTCTCTCCTAAGATGGTATTCTCATTTGATCCTTACTATATATATATATATATATATATATATATATATATATATATATATATATATATATATATATATATATATATTTCTTGTTTGAAACTATGTCCAAATATTTGCAGACTAGAAAGGACCATCCAGAGAAAAACGAGTTTCAAGTGAGGCTTCATGTTGCTGCAATGCTGATGTTTAAAGCTTTACTTATTTTTCATATTTGTTTTCCCGGCTGAGGTCATGGAGACAATTATTTTTATTAGAGTACTCTTCTAATGTCAATATATAAGCGAAGCATATACTGATACACGTAGTATAAATTATGTATATGGAGTAGACCTTTCTTTTGCTCTGTCGTTGTATATATGAATCACTTTAGTTTATATAGGACTTCCCTAATTAAGATGTACTTTTGGTAAGACTGAAATAGCGTTTTTGGCTTGTTTGGAATAATGTTGAATTAAGTACTTGAATGTGTATTTACGTTGGAACCTGGAAAATAGAGGGGTTTAATACGGTTGCCACCCCTGGATGTACATGTCCAGAAATCAATGGAGGAAGAGAACGACAGATTGATTCTGGTGGCCAGAAGAGCATGTTTCGGACTGCCCACTGCGTGTCCAAACTGCTTGCCCGTTTATGTTTACCTCAGGTTATGCAAACGCCCCTTCGATTTGGCCTTCAACCTTGTTCATCCTGATTCTGATCAAATACCTTACGTTGAGTCCGGAACTTATGTGGCATACAACAATGAAAAGGGTGGTGTGGTCCAGAGTTTAAAGGATGATGGTATGGTCGATGATTTAGACTCTGCAGTTCGCCACATTCCAGAATGGGCATCAACAATGGCTATGGCAGATTCATGGCTTGCTGATGCTCTGTTGTTTGAACTCTGGCTAGGGTCTGATGCATGTCCTGTGCAGATCTATTATTCTGATCTTCCTTGGCCAGTAGGAAAACTTCTATACTTGAAGCAAGTTTATGATACAAAACAACGACTTGGGATAACAACTGAGAATGTTGATAAAAGAGAAGAAGAAATTTATAGGAAAGCTTACACTGCTTATGGTGCTTTGTCAACAATGTTAGGAGACCAGTCCTTTTTATTTGAAAACAGGCCAACAAGCTTAGATGCTGTTTTTCTTGGGCATGCACTTGTTACACTATTTGCCTTACCCGATACTTCAGTGCTAAGAAGCAAGCTCTCGGAGTATGCCAATCTGGTAAAATATACAAAGAATTTTAAATTGCAGTTCATAGACACGACTGAGTTGCCTTCTATCTCTCAATTGCATAATGAGCCCTCTTCATCAACGTCAAGACGTAATTCAAATTGGAGCTCAAAACCGAAAACCAAACCTCAAAAGAAAAAAATGACTGAAGAAGAGAAGAAGTTTCGGCGGAGGTCAAAGTATTTTCTGGTTACTCAGCTGGTTGCAGTTTTGGTATACCTTTCCGTCCTTGGAGGATCTGATGATGTTGAGGCTGATCTAGATGATGGTGATGGTGGCCCTTATTATGGTGACTAAATTTTTGGTATTTTCTCAGTTTGTGTCCGTTTACCAGCTTTTAGCTCCTGATGAATATTTTGGAGAACTGATGTGCATAATATTTGTTCAATGTACACCAGATAAACCAGAGTAGTTCTTCAGGGAAATTGGAGTTTGTGTTTTTTACTCAATCTGCAAAATAAGGAACCATCATTTTACGTTAAAAAAAAAAAAAAAAAAAAGTGTATTTACGTTGGAATTGTGTCATCTTTCAACAACATATTGGTAATGTTATATGTAACATTACTAGCTCTCCTAGTTAGTTCATTAGTTGCCTAGGACTGGGTTGTGCTAGCGAAACTTAGAACACCTAGGCATGGACCCGGTTCGGGCCGCCCGGCCCGGGACCGGCCCGGCCCGCCACTGTGCGAGCCCGGAACCGGCCCGGTTCTCGGGTCCGGGTCCGGGTCGGGCCTAGGCCCGGTGGGGTGGCCGGGTCCGGGCTCGGGCCTTGAATTTGGCGAACCGGCCCGGCCGGGTCGGGCCCGGGCCCGGGCCGAATTGATTTTTTTTTAATTTTTTTTTCTTTTTTTGGGGTTAGCCGGATTCTAGGTATGGGGGTTAGAAAAGAATGAAGTTCTACTTTTTTGACTTTATAATTTTCTCCATCACTGGATTAAATTTTAAAATGTAATTTGAGATACATTTCTTTTCTTCTTTTGCGAGGGTTAGTATGGTCAAAGGCTTGTTTTCATATTTTTTAAACTCAACTTAATTTTTTTTGACACTTTATGGTGAGTTCTATAGCCAGTCAAAATAAGTACTCCGTAATAATTTTCCGGTTGAATTGGCAAAATTTATTGAACAAATCTAGTTCATATTCTTTTTTCATTTTGGATGTCGTTAATGACAAATTTGTATTGATATAACTATATAAATTATGTGATGCTTGGATTTATGACATAATGATATAGTAAACTACTCCGTTAGTCCGTATTTTTAGTGTATAATTGATCAGCCTAATTATGTGTACTGAAAATAATTTTGAATGTAGTATAAATATAGTGTTCATAAATAAATGATAATATATGTTTATATATATATATAGAATAATGATCATGTGAGAAAACCATCTTAGGAGAGAAATGAGAATAATTTATAGCCATTCGATCTTGGATTATTTTAGCACTTCATTAAGGGCAAATAAGAGAATTTGACACCATATTAAAGTTACACGGTTACTTCTCTACAATCTTGCAATTGTTTCCATAACTAACATCCTATAATCTTGCATGACAAATCATCCCGTTTACTTTTATTGATTTACGATTCTTAAGAGAGTTTATATCAAATTATTTTTCATTTGCTTAGCCAATCAAAATAAATTCTTTTATCTCATTTGATTCTTCCACACCTTCATGATTCCCAAATTCGGTGTCACAAAGAAAGACGTCCCATTTTCATTTTTTGTAAAAAAAAATCGGTCATTGTATCACTTTATGTTTACATAAATCTTCTATTTTATTTTAAAATAATTTTCCATTTATTATTATGCTTTATATTTTATTTAAAAATTGCATCAACATAATTGTATATGTTGCACCTTTTTAGTATAATAACTGCACTGCAACGTTTGTGTAAATTTTTAGAAAGTTTGAAACAATAATGCACCCCGATTTATATTTTAATGCACATGTTTAAAGTGCATTTCATTTTGAGTAAAAGCATCAATGTAAGATTTTAGAAAGTGTGATATGTTAGTGCACTTTTGTATATATTTAAATGCACATGATAGCATACCCATGTATTCTTTTACACCCGTGTTTATTTATTTTTATTTTTTAAAATCATTTTGCTTAGAAAGATGTATGAAAGTGCACAATGGTATGCGTAAAGTGTAGTAAATATTATAGCAGGTGCTAGCCAATGTCATAAATGTGCAATTTAAAAAAGTGCAAATTAATACAATAAAAATGCCTGCACTTTTGTACATGCTGTTCTGACTTCTGATTTTTGAGTTTAATGTTGATTTTAGTTTACTCTTCATTTGATCCATTGTTGCACTATTACAGTCTAATGCCTGCACTTTTGTACATGTTCTATGCACCTTTAGCTCTATATGTCTCAATGATAAACATAACTTATTGATCATTCATACATTTAATTCCTATTGGTTTTGGTTTATTTTCTCTATAAAAATTGATTTTCTGTTATCTATTTAATTTTCAAATAATAATAAAGATGATTTTCTATTAAGATTTTGATGCACTTACCTGCTTTGGTCATGCACATTCATTAGTTTTAAATTTTTTGTTTCTTTTTGCTTATGGAAAGAAAATTAAGATAAAGTAATTATTTTGATGGAGTATATGGCCCAGGAACCCCCGGCCCATAGACTCCTACTTCTCCTACACAAGTCCATTAAGCCCAGGAAACAACTCAGGCCCAAATACGACGGCCCAAGCCTCAAAGCGGCCCAGAATACACACTGGGGTGCCTTCGGCCTCCTTGGCCGAAGGCTCCAGAACTCACAGAACCGCCATATTCGACCATGCGAAGCTACTGGGAGAAATTGACAGAAAACGGGAAGCCCTCGGCTCAACCAAGCCTTCGGCTACACAGGGGGCCTTCGGCCATACATGGAGCCTTCGGCCATACATGGAGCCCTCGGCTACATAAGGGGCTTTCGGCTATACAAGGAGCCCTCGGCTACACCGGCAGCCTTCGGCTGAACTAGCTCAATCATCGGAGATTCCTTTTGGAGACAGCCAACCACCGCATTTAATACCACGTCACATCCGCCAACCGCATTCAATGCGGTGAACGTACCACTGCCGGTGCCAACCGGCTGATGTGACCCTTCGGCCGTTGGATTACTGACACGTGTCCCCTCATCGCATTTATTGCTGCTATAAATAGCAACCCATTTCTCCTTGTAATGGACACAATCTACATCTCGATTACACACACTGAGTTCATTTAATAAAATCGACTCTCTCTCCTCCTATTTGCTCTGACTTCTCTCTAAGTTATTCCCGTAATAACCCCTCGGATAAGATACCCTCCGGGTAGACTATCCATCATTTGGTGCTCTCGTTGAGAGGTCTGAACTATCAAGTAAGAAACCCTCCCCCTCTACCAAATACGAAACACTCACCAAAAATGGGAAGAACCACCCGTGCCCAATCCAAGACCCTCGAGGAAAACTACGTAGCCCCCGGCGAAACTAACGGGGTTGAGGCCTCCAACAGGCTCTTAGTACTCGAGGGTGGTGTCATCCTCGAACTAGAGCAAGCCACCGCTGACCTACGCCAACAGCTGCAGAAGAACACCCCTGATGCCCGCATCGGCCTTGATAATCGAAGGAGGGATCGGAGTGAGAACCAAGTTCCCCCTCCGGCCCCGGCCATCGATCTTCAGGCTGCCTTTGCGGCCTTTGTTCAGAACATGGCTCTCAATTCCGGAGCCCTCGCCTCTCAGGCACCCCTCCAGCCCTACGCTGGAGGGAATGTTATTCAATTACCACCGCTCCCTCCTCTGTTCACCAATCCTCCCCCGGGGATTGGAAACGCCGAAGGGGTCATGGCACAGGATACCGCCTCCCAAGAGGCCCAATCCAGGGATAAACGTCCCTTGATGAAGGAGAAACCCCGGACCTCTGCACTTGAGAGGCTTGGGGGAGCTCCCGTACGCCGAGGGGTCCAAGACCGCCTCGGCAAACAGGATTTCAGCAGGCCTCAGGAGAGCGGAGCCTCCGCTTCGGGAGCCGAGGGCATACCTCCGCCCCGAAGCAAGGGCAAAGCAATCCTCCAGGCCGATGACGCCAGACACCAGATCAATCAAGCGCAGTCCTTCCGGGCCAACTCCCAAGGGGCTGCTCCGAAGGATCCCAAGGATGAGATCATTGAGGCCCTCCTCCGTCAACTTGAGGAGAATCGTCAGGCACCACCGACGGCTTCCACAGCTAGACCGGATCCGGAATACGCTGACCTCCGGGCACAAGTGGAGGAAATGAAGCGTAAACTGGCCGAAGGCTCCGGTGAGCCCCTCATTCAACTCCGCACTAGAACACCCTTCACCCCGAGGGTGTTGGCGGCCAAAATCCCTCACAAATACCGGGGGCAACCCATCAAGCCGTATGAGGGGAAGACGGACCCCCAAGAGCACTATAGCCGTTACCAAAACAGCATGATGATGATGGGAGCATCGGATGAATACTTATGCCGTTGGTTCCTTTCCACTTTGGAGGGGCCCGCGTATGAGTGGTTCAACCGGTTGCCCGAAGGCAGCATTGATTCTTGGCAAGAACTTGCCCACCGCTTCCTCACACAATTTGCAGGGAGGCACCGTTCAAAGAAACACTTTTCCCACCTCCTAAACGTGAGGCAACAAAAGGAGGAAACCCTTCGGAGTTTCCTAGAACGCTGGAGGCAGGCCTCCCTCGAGGTTGAGGGCGCCGATGACAGGACCCTGATGGCCCTCTTCCACACCGTCCTCCGCAACGGTAACTTCTCCAGGAGTCTTATCACTGATCCCCCCCGCGATTATACAAAGGCCCTCCAGCGGGGGGACCGATATGCCGAAGCGGAGGAGATCGAGAAGGACCGCCGCAACACGGATCCTTCCCAGAAGAGTGAAGGCAGGAATCGGCCCGGAGGACCTCCTCCTCCGGCCAACCGCGAGGCTCAGTATAATGATCGCCCCCGAGGTGGCCAAGCCAGAACCGGGGGCGGTTACAAAAACAATCCGAAGGCATGGGCACAACCCGTCCTCCTGGAGCACCCACGCACTCCCTTGACGCACCCCGTCAGCGTCATTCTTGACCATGCAGAAGAGCGGGGGCTCGTTGAGCGAGACTCCCGCACACCCCTCGAGATCTATGCCATCGGCCCTGATGAGCCGTATTGCCGCTTCCACCGCCACCATGGACACAAGACCGACGACTGCCATCAGCTGAAGAACGCCATCGAGAGGCTGATACAGGCGGGCCACTTGTCCCAGTTTATCAGGGGCCCTCCGCCCCAGGGTCCCCCTCATCATCAAGGCCCTCCGCCGAAGGCAAACAAGTGGGTGAACCCCAACACCATTCCCTTGGGGAACCCGCATGGGAAGAAGCGTGAAATTGGCGGCCTCGAAGACGAGGGAGAGGGCTCCCATCAACAGTACAAGCGCCACATTCACATGATCAACGGCGGGAACACCGGA